TACAGGCTATTACATTAATTTTTTTTTTTTGTTAGTTAGCAAATTGACCCTAGAATAAACTGAAGTTTGCTGGAAATTGTATAATAAAATCAGTTATATATGATTATGCTCAACCATAAAATCAGTGATACGCGTAACAGTTTCACCAAATTTTTACAATGAACAACAAATAAAAATCTTAAAACAGTCGATTTTACTTGTGGAAATCGAATCTTTATGGATCTAAATACTACTAAGAATAAATTACGACGAGCGATTATATCTAACAAATAAAATCCACTACATTATTATTCATTGGTCATCAAACTGATCACAATTGTAACAAATTATTTGTGAAAAGAACTTCAACTTATTTAAACGAACAAAAAAAAAAAAACTAAGCTAAAACGTGAGCAAAAGAAGAAACTATTATGGCTGCTAGAAAGAGTTTGGATGCCGATAAATTCCCGGAACTAGATTTAGACGGTGAGGGAGCTGGAGAAGAAGCGGTAACAGCCGGTGATAATGTTGCCGCCGGTGAGGAAGCAGTGGCCACTGGTGGCTTGGTAACAGTTGGTGATGAAGGGTTCACCGTTGGTAATGAAGGGGTAGTCGCCGGTGACTTTTTGGAAGATGGTGAAGTTGAAGGTGGTGCTGCCGCCGGAGAAGCAACCGGTGTTGATGCAGCCGAACTAGCTACCTCTGCCCAAAAAAATTTAAAACAAATCAAAAATATTCACATAAAAGTAAATTAAACAAAAAATTTAGAAAAACGAATGATACATACCACAATGAGGATCAACAGAAACACTGCAAATAGAAGGCATGGCAAAGGCTTTGGTGTTATCAAGAGCAAATCCCATTGCTTCACTGCTTTCGATTCCATAGCAAAGACATTGTGGGTTATAATCAACAACAGATTTGATTCCAACACAACACGATTTTGTTGGGCTAGAATCTGTTGATCCGACGAGCAAGAATGAGAGACAATCCATCATGTCGTATATTACACTAGAACAGTCAGAATGTGACTTCGATGGTTCTGGTATTGGGGATAACTTCGGTGACTGCAATGGTGCATGTAACGGTGATACAAAGTCGGATGCATCCGACAATGATAATAGAAACAATACGATCAATATGAAAAATTTCA